TCCCTTTTTCCAAACCGTGGCAGCCACTGTGCTTGCCACATACTGAGCGCAGGAATCCAAAAGAAGGACAAATGTGCTTTGGAGATGATTTTGGCAATCTTCATCTATAGCTGTCCATGCTCATAAAATACGGCGCTTAATCATCTTGGCAATTGGGGTAACCAATTCGAAAAATAATTACTGCCTTCTTTGAGATTACTTTGCCTTCTAATTAAAATCTCAAGACTGGGATATTAAAGGTGCATTGTCAATACAACGTTCCCGGATGCACCCAGCTAACCTCATTTGGGAAGGCAAAATTAATTAGTTTGTGTTTTAACACCCAGCTGTTATCCTGAGGAAGGAAATCGTCTACAAGTCGGCCACACACACACAGTCTCTAAATTGGCCAGAGCGACTGAGGGGGGGTAGAAAGGAAATCAAGGGTGATTTGTTCCCGCATAACTCAGTCAGCTCCTATTACAAGCTGCTCATTAAACGGCGCCCCCGCGTCCCTGTCAGACATGGCTCAGGAGTGTTCTTGTTCACCCGTAGAGGCAGAATGGGAAATAAGTGGGTCCCTCCGTGCCACTGAGCTCCCCCTTCATTCTGGAGCCTCCTTTGCTGTTAACACCTCTCCCAGTGATTGATTCTTGGGGGAAAGCCGGCAGCGGATCCGAGAGGGTGGGCACCTCTCTCCCTGTCCCCGACGGCCACAGGTACAAAGCTGCCTGCCCTGCTGGTTTCCCTCTTCCACCTTTTCGACTTCTTCCTATTTTCCAATTCCATTTGAGCCAGACCTTTGCTGAGCACCATGGAAGCCAGGATAATAATGGTTCTAGGCTGTGCAACAGTCACGACCCCCAGCCCCTCGTGGTTTTAGCACAACAGAAGCTGATTTCTTCTTCATGCAAAGTGTGATGCAGGTCGCCACCCACTCTACTCCAGCCAGTGATCCAGGGATCTAGGATTCTTCCTTCTTAGGCTGACACCATCTTTACCAGAGGCTTTGAGATTCCCTGAGGCAGAAGAGAAGGTTGGCCCCCAAGGGACACACTTCCTGTCACAGCCTATTGGCCAGAACTGGTCACGTGACCCCAGCCCCATTGCAAGGGATGCCGGGAGATGTAGGCGGGCACGTAGAGTGTTTGTTGAGTGCTTCTGTCCCTGCCACAGTGCCCTGGCTGCCCCGTGCACAGAGCCAGGTGCCTCTGAACCCCCTCCAGGAGTGTGAGGCACGGCCCCTGCTCCCGGGGAGATGCCCGCTCTGTTCTGTGTGGGAGGCCAACCCGTACAATCGTGAATTATCAGGCAGGATTGATTGATAAGCACAACAGAAGTAGAAGCAAATTTCATGATAATGGGTGGAAGTGATTACCTCAAAGGGGTGGAACAAAAGGAACATTTCCAGGAAGATGTAATGCATGTGCTTAGTTTTGGGGGGGAAGGGGAAGACAGTTCACCACAGGGACATGAGGAGGAAAGTCACATCTGCAGGCAGGGCACAGCCCGCGTCCAGGTAACCTCAGACCTCCTACAGATCAAATTCTTCCCTCCTCGTCTCTGAGCACAGCACTGATGTCCTGAAACGAAATTCATTTCCGAAAGCCTTCTCACGCTAAGGCCTTACAATCAAAAAATAAACAAACCACAAATCCCTAATATGGCATTTGTGACCGGTGTTAGGACTTGAATTTGCTGGGGGAGCAAATAGCGCTATGCTCTCGGGCAGGGACACTGCAGTGGCTTGCACTTCCTTGGGGAGGATCAACGGCCGCTAAAGCCGGCTCATGACGGGCGCGACCCTCCCAGAATCGCTATGGGGTGGAAAAGGCCCAAGAACCAGGAGTGGGGAGGCTAGGCTGCGTTTTATCTAAGCCCTCTCTACCCAGTTGCAGGAGGAGCACCTCTACTGGGGCCTGTCTCCCTGGACTCCCAAGTGTTCCTCTGGAACCTGAAACAAGAGGACAAGTTCAACCTAGGGGGCCCATGGATCACCCACAGATATGGTCTGTTGACTCACCCAACAGGGCCTCAGATGATGTAAAATTTTTTTTTAATTAGTTGTCAACATTCAAAAATTTGGAGAAATTGCATAAAAATCCAGATCTCTGATACACACTTTGGCACTACTATACTGGACAACAATAAAACTGGCTACCTCTTTAGATGCCACAGTCCCCACCACTCCCTGTTGCCTTGGCAACCCTGAGGCCAGGCATTGGTTTTCCCTACACACATCCCAGCTCCCAGCTCGCTCAGTTACATCCCCTGCCAGGCCACTGGGCTAGACAAGTTCCCCGGGGAACAATAATCTTTAAAACTTGACAACTATTCCTGAGGCTTGCTCTTTTCCCTTATTTTCTCTAAATATACCTCATTCTTAGCAGAACCACCCACCAGTGAGAGCAGGGCTTCTTAGCCTTGGCTACACATTTGAACGATTGGGGGAGGTTTTAAAAATCCCAGTGTCCAGCCTGCACATGGAGGTTGCACTCAGGATCGGTCCTCTTAAAGCTCCAGGTGATTCAGTGTACAGCCTAGGTCGAGAAGCACTGAGTCAGAACCAAAAATACAATGGACTAGCTTAGGAGGGGGTGAGCTCCCCATTATCGGAGGTGGTTAAGCCAAGGTGGATGAGCACTTTGCAAGGATGTGTGGGGCGATCCAAACATCAGCTGCTACACTCCTGGGATTCTTCCCTCCTTCCACCTCCCTGCCTTTGCCCCTCAGCACCTTCCCAAGCTCAGCTCAAACCCCATTGAACCTACAAGTGTGCACATGATCTAAGAAGGGCACCTTGTCTCTTGAGCCTCAACCTCAGCACCACACAACCCCCAGGCTTTTCCCTGTTACTGCCCAATTGTGTTTGTGGTTAATGGAGCCATTGTCTAGCTCCCTGCCTTTGTCCTCTCCATCTGATTCTGGGTTGAAAAATTCAGCCACAGGGAAGTTTCTTGGCCCAGACAGGATGAAACAGGAGGAGATGCAAGCAAAGTGGTCTTCAGCTGACAGGCTTATGACAAAAGACTGGTTGTCTAGAGGCTCTCCTGGAGGTCGGCACAGTGCCCCCCGAGAATCATGTTCATAGGATGGTGTGAGGGTCCTTGAAATATGTTTCATTATACCAAATATTACGTGATTTACTAAAATTATATGGGTTACCAGGAATCTGTAACCTTGTCTGTTTCAAAGGCTAACACCTCCTCCAAAAAAAAGAAAAGGGATTTAAAGTTAACTTTCTGGAATGTCTTGGGGTTTCCTTTTTGGGTCTGCAGAAAGAACCACTTGCAAAAGGAAGGGCATGCTTGATCTTCTAGAAAATCTTCCCCCTGCCCACCCAACTTTTCCCTAAAAGCACTGCGAAGAATATGGAACAGTTTCAACTTTCAACAATATGTAAATGTTTTGCCTGGCATACTTTTGCTTCTGGCGTGAATGTAATTGGTTCATTTGACTATAAAGTCACACCTGTCACTGTGCTGAGGTGTCATCAGGAGCCACGCTGGGGTTGGGGAGTGGATGTTTCTCACAATGGCAGGTGGAGCAGATGTGATGAGGTGCACAGAGTTTGAGGACAGAAAAGCTCAGCCGGTGTCTGGTGTGGACACACAGTAGTGAGGAGTTGGTGGTAAGGAATTCCATCTTTCCACCAAGGCGTACGCATTGCCTTTCAAGGGATTCAGCTTTTTATGAGAAATAAAGAGGTTAAACCACACATCCCAGTGAGTTCTAAATCCAAGCAGAAGAACCACTGTGGAAAGCCAAAATGGTGACAAAGAGAATGGACATTTTCCCACTTCTGGAGAAACGTCTAGATTGTGTTGAAACTTGGAGATACCCTGGTCTGTGGCCCATCATCGTATAGATCTGAAAAATTAGGTCCAGCAGGGAGAAGTGACCTGCCCAAAAGCACGCAGGTAGCTGTTGACAGAACTTTCACTTGAAACTGAGGTCTAAAAAGTTGGTAGCTCCCCAGACCTCTGTTTCCTAGTCTGTGGAATGGAGATGGGTTCTTCCTCACTGCTGTCTTGGTTAAGGTAAACTGAGACCCTCTATGTGCAGAGGTAGCTCAGTGCCTCACCCAGCACTGGGATCCGTTAGCCCAACACCATGCTCTTCCCAATTCTCCATAGCTCCTCTCATTACCCCTGCCAGATTTCTAGGCAGGAAGCGGGAACTCCCATTTCAGAAAGGGATATACCAAATACCACAACAGGCCTTGAGAAGAGATCATGGCAGAACCCGGCTTCACCGGGCAGAGCACCGTCTGGTGTCCCCTCAGCTCTCAGGGAAGCCACCCAATGTCAGAGGTGGGCAACCCGCATCAGAGGGGTGGGGGTCCTGCGGGCAGCGATGGGAAGGAAATCGGATGATGCTCAAGGGACAAGAAAGTCAGTCTCTGCTGGAGTCAGGAATGGTGATATGCAAAGGGAAGCGTGACCATGGGACCCTCCACAAGGGGAAGATGGGGGCACCATGCAAGAGCCACCCCTTTACGGGGGGTTTGCATGCGGTGGCCCATGCAGCAAGCTGCCACACCCACGTGTGTCATCTGTGTCTCTCTCTCTCATGCTCCCACAGCAGAGGCCAGGAGCATGGCTGCAAAGCCAAAAATATCTACCAGCTGGCTCGTTATAGAAAAAGTTTGCCCGCCCCCACTTTAGATTTCAACAGGCTTGAGCCCAGGTCAAGGTCTGCCCTTTCTACCTAGGTGACCTCAGGCAAGCCACTTTTGTCTCTGAGCCTCATTTCTGCATCTGTACCTACTACCAAGCTCGTCATGTTTCCATAAAAATCATATATGTGAAAGTTCATGATGTAAGGAATAGTTCTGTTGCTTAATAAAGGTTGGTAGTCAGTCCCCTGAGAAGGGAACCGGGAATCAACGGCTGGATTGGTCTCCACAGCTCCTGGAGTGGCAGGAGGCAGGCTGCTGGACAGGTTAAAATTGTCCTTTTCCTGGAAAGGATGATTCACAAACTCATATTTTCTCACTTCTTTTTTTTTTTTTTCACCAGATACTGGCTGACCAACAAGGTCCACATCAAAAGACCCACCACCGGTCTCTTGATGTACACCCTGGCCACACGTTTCTGCAACCAGATCTACCTCTATGGCTTCTGGCCCTTTCCACTAGATCAGAACCAGAACCCTGTCAAGTACCACTATTACGACAGCCTCAAGTATGGCTACACCTCCCAGGCCAGCCCCCACACCATGCCCTTGGAGTTCAAGGCCCTCAAGAGCCTGCATGAGCAGGGGGCTTTGAAACTGACTGTTGGCCAGTGTGATGGGGCCACGTAAGGTGGGCTCCCTGTGGGACTCAGTGGCTCACATTTCCTGCCAGCTACACCACAGGCAGATGGGAGTCGGGGTGGCGCAAACTGTAGAACAAGCAGGCTAGTGGTTTTCTTTGTTAAAGTGTAAAACAGTGACCAGAATATATATATCTATACCTGCATATATATATTGACCTGAGTATTTATAACTGTGTGGTGTTCATCTAGCATTAGGCAGATAAGCCACAGGAAGAAGGTGTGGAGAACCCACCCAAACTGGATTGAGACTCAGTCCATCTTTAGGGGCAGAAGGACTCGACATGAAAAGAAGCCAGTCCCATGACTTTGGATGACAAACTGCCTCCTGGGTTGGACAGATCTTTGGGCTCATGGATGAATGGAGAGCCACCTCTTGGCAGCGACCCTGAGCCTCTGAGTAACCCGGATTCTGGGTGAGCCAAGACCCAGAGGGGACAACTTGACCCAAGTCTAAAATGGTGCTGTTGACAGAGGAGAGGAGGTTGAGGGGTTCAGCCTGGCAAAGGTGTACAAGGACCCCAAGAAGCAGAGGCCACTTCAGAGGCGTGGGCCTTGTTCCACAAACTTAGAGTTTAACTGTCCGAGGGATGATCCACGGTGGACCCCCCTGTCCCAGACAGGTTTCCACAGGTATGAAGAGAAGGCTAGAGAAGTAACCATGGACAGTCTATACTCTGGCCTTTGCAAGAACCACCAAGAACCTGGACAGAGCAGGCAGATGACCCTAAATAGCTGGGGTGTTCCCCTGGCATTTTGGAAAAATTGAAATCTCCCGCTCGGGGGCAGCACTCCACCCCACAATAAGGCAGAAGAGTGTCCAAAACGTGGTGGTTTGGTGGGTGTTCTTTAAAGCAACTAGAGTCTACCAAGGAGGAAGGGACCCTGGGATTTTACCCGCTGGCTTAGCCCCCTTCCTGCTCTCTTAGAATGTCACATAAGGGACCGTACTGTTCCCTTCTGCCACCAGGGAAGCCACAGCGAAAGCTTGAAAGGGCCCGGTCAAGATAAATGTCATCCTTTTTAAAATACATATGATTGCCTTTCTGGGTGCCTCACAGAGCCCCAGAGTGTGAGACCTGAAAGGGTGTTAAGCACCTCGCTTCCTTTCTCCGTGACCCCTCTGTTTCCTTTCTGCGTCGTGCACTTGAGGGGCCTCTGCAGCCATTTCTTGACATCTTCCTGTCCTGATGGTCACACTAGCCGGCACTGAGCTCCAACACCCAGCTTCTCCAGTCTGCAGGGAGAGGCTCCAATGTCCACCCCACCCCCACCTACCCATCCTCCGCACAGAGGCAATGATTTTAGAATTTCACAAAATCCTTTTTGCCCCCTATGAAGATTAATAGTGAAGACTTTTTTTTTGTAACCCAAAGCCAAATGCAGTATCCAAATAATGGGCATAATCTCCCTGGGGAAATCTGGGCTCCATGCCAATCACTTAGGGGCTGGAATCAGAGGTCACATATAGACAAGCATTAGGCGGCTTGATTTGTTGGATGTATTCCCTTGCCTGATAAATAACACTGTTTTAAAACATATTTGAAAGATAAGTAAAAAACCATTATCTTGAAGGTGAAGGGAGTTAAGAAAAGTAACCGAGATCTGCTCCCAAGCACACGAGACCGGACATAATTAATCAGTGGCAATTCAGACCAGGACGTTTGCTCTAAATTAATGGCTGGCGGGCAGCAAACGGAAACGGTGGGAGGATGCTCAGAACCGTTCACCCCGCACATGGGTGCTCCAGCTCCAAGCCCCAGCTGTGACTGCTACCCTGCATCTCTTATGTTTCTTCCCTTGTTGTCCTTGCTGTTGATGCTTCAAGTCTGAGACTTGGGATTTGCATTATAAAATGAATATTTAAGAAAGCAACAGCCCTAACAGCCTCTGTGGGAACTGCGTGGTTTGGACTCCCTCGCAAGAAGTGGAAATAATTAGTATCATATTTTACACTTCTCCAGAGCCTTTCATCTTGAGGATCTCAAAGGCCCTGGAAGACATTTAATGTCTGAAGCTGGCAGTGCCCTGGGGAGCAGGTAGAACTGCCTGGGCCTCCGTGGATTAACCAGGGCTTTGGACTCCAGAACGTTCCAGTGGTGAGTCCTGAGGGGAGCTGGGATGTCAGGTCCTGGGGTTGGCCCCACGCTCCGTGTACCGGCCAGGAGCCTGCCCTGCGGGGCAGTTCAAGGCCAGAGCTCCGTGGAAGAGCTAGTTTTCCTTCTGTCCCATATTGGTCTTGGTTCCTTAAGCGGACACCAGTGGCTGTTGAAGTAGAAGGGGCCCTAAGAACCTGCCCCTGGGAAGCCAGGACCATCTGCACCCCTCCGTTCCCCAACTCACAGGTCCTGTGCTGCCCAAATGCACTGACCACCTGATGACAGGAGCTCCAGGGGCCTGGGCTTCCCCACCCCCTCCTGCTCCTCCCCCTGGGCGGACAGTCAGGAGGCAGGCCGTCCCCTCTGCCCGTTTAGGGCAGCTAAATGCACAGGCCAGCTAGCCTGGGTGGCCCCGAGGAGTCCCCAGCCTGCCCCTTGTCCCTGCCACCCTGGTCCACTGCCTTGTAACTGCGGTGGTCACAGCCATCCTGGGAGCAGGAGACCCTTCCAGTCACCTCCTGTTAACTGTTAATCAGTCCCCAATCGCCCTGCCATCATCCACCCTGGAGCCTCTGAGACCTGCAAGCTCCTCAAGCCCCCAAATAACCACTCCCCTCCATCGGCCGCCTCCTTGGCTGAAGAGAAGGAGCCATCTGAAACACCATCTCCCCTCCAGATCTCCCGATTCCTTTCCACCCCACGCCTCTCCTTCCTCCCATTTCTGAGGACGTGAAATCCATCCTCTGGGCAGTGACATTTTCCCACACACCCCAGCCGCTCTTCTGCCACCTCTGTCCTCACTTCCACCAGCACACACTCTACTCCCCATCCCAGCTCCTGCAGCCTCTTCCCTCCCCTTCCCTGCACCAGCAGCCCCGGGAAGGGGTCTCCAATGCTTGCGCTGCCGTCCCCCACAACCTGCCTAGCCTCCATGCTCTAGGGACCTGCGATTCAGCGCCCTCCATGTTGCCACATCAAAAGACCCCTTGCCGTCACCAAGCTCCCCACATCGCTGGGCTCCACAGCGACCCCTGCTGGACACCCGTCACCTCGGTGCACAGGATGCAACGTACTCTGTTTCTCCTCCATTCCCAACGTCTCTTCATCATTTATTTATGTATGTACGTGTGTATTTATTTATTTATTTATTTATGATTTATTTATTTCCACCCTTCCCTTGATCTAAAAAGGACCCGAGGTGGGTCAGACCATTATTTCCCTCCCTCCTCCTTGCCCCACCGCACGGACACTCCCAACATTGGTGCCTTCCATTGTGTCCCCACCCCACCTGCTTTAGACTCCATACATCCGAAGCCAAGTTTATCATCTCTGCTTCCCCTTCCTCCACGATCCCCCCTCTTCTTGATGGAATCCCCATGAGCCTCTCAACCACCCAAGTCTGAGACCCTAAAGTCATCTTCAACTCTTCTCTATGGGTTCCCTTGTCACCCCTCCCCACCAGTGCTGCCCTTGCTTCCCTTGCTTGCACAATTTTAGCAGTGTTCTCTTCCCTACCCCTCCCTGTTGCCCCTCTGGGCATGCTTGCACACCCCCGTCTGTCCTGCACATTCATAGTGATTTTTATCTCCAGCCATTCAGAAAACTTTAAAAGTTCCTGGCCCACAAAATAAGGTACAAGTCTCCACCCTGACATTACAGATCACCCAATAAGGCCCCTTCCTTCTTTACACCCTGCACTGGTCGATAGAGAATCATCATTTCTGGAAGAGGTGCCTGGTTTTCCTGTCTCTGTGCCTTTGGTCTTGCTGTTCTCATCTCCTGGGACCCTCTCTTCTCTTCCCTTCAAGGCCCATGCAGAAACCACATCTTCCACGAAGCCCTCCCTGATCTACCAACCACTGGGATTTCTCCCTCCGCTGAACCACCGTAGCACTTTATTTGTACCTTTCTCATGGCACTTACCATATTCTGCCTTGTATTATAGTTATTGTGCACTTGTCCTATGACCGTTCTTAGATTGTAAGCTCGCCAAGGGCAGGGACTGTGTTTTATTCATCTGTGTCCATCACAGCACCAGGAGTGGTGCAAAGCACACAGCAGTTGCTTAATAAATGTTTGTTGGATTAAATCCTTAATGCCTGTGGAGGACTATGTAATTAATGAAGTCATTTTGCACCTGTAATGTCCTAAGAACCTCCAAAAAATCACGAGTTGGGCAGACGCAGAAATCATTATTCCCATTGGGTGGGTCATAAAATTGAAGCAAAAAAAAACTGTGTGAAGCCCCATAGCTCACTAGCAAAATTCACACGCCGGTCTTATCCCCACTCCATGATCTTCTATTAACCCCTGTGGCTGGGTCACCATAAATTGGAAACTGACCCCAAGTCTTGGCTGCCATGGGTCTGGGATCACCTTCACAGAGTCAGACAGACCTCAACATGAACCTCAGCTTGTGTGCCCATCAACAAAGGCAAAGTCTCCCTCCTTTTGGGGGAGGACAAAAGCCATTCAGGTTTTACCAGGCCCAGGGGGTGGAGCTGTGGGACCTCATAAATCATTCCCCCTGCTGTTGTCACGGGGTATGAAGCCATCCGTCCAGATGGCAAAAAGACCAACAGCTCCAAGGGGCTGTTGTTTGATAAATCTCTTCATGCCTAATTAAAGCTCCCCTACCAGAATGAATGGAACAGGGGCATTTGTTGATGCCGGTCAGATGGGACTCCAGACGTTCACGCTGCCTCATGAATGCCCTTAATAGCATCCCCAATGACACCGACAGCCTGCCCTAGCCCGCCTGTCTCTCAGCAGCACTGCTGGATGTCATCATTCCTTCCTGTCTTCATTCCCATCCTTCTGCTTCCCCTCCCCAGGGCTCTTCGCTTCGGCATCCACCAGGAGCCCGGTGAGCCTAGGGACCTAGGTGGCAGCTCTTCTTGGGAACCTAAGCCTTGACTGGGGTAATGTGGTGGGATGGCAGGAAGGGAGAGGGTGAGGAGCACTCTGTGCCATCTCTCCAAAAAGCAAAAACACCAGGGTGCTCTGTTCCAGTGGCAGGTTATCCACAACAGAGGGCGGGTGGAGGGGTTTCCATGATTACTATGTGGAAGCAATGTTTTTGTTGCCCTTGGGCTTCATGGTGAGGGTAGGAGATTCATATCCATCCTTAGTAATCCAGGTGGTGGAACCAG